ATAACTCAACTGCGCTAACTCAAGTCAAACTCAAAGGTTTCTGCGCTCAACTGCGCTAACTCTGCTGATAACTCAAAGCCAAAGGTCTAAAACGTCTTAACTTACAACTGAATTAAATTCTAAAAGTTAAATTAAGTCACGTTACACTTGGCCAACAAACACGCCTATAGAAGAAACAGCACGTTAAGTTTGAAACTTAATAATAACGACAGAAACATACCAAAGAAATACCTGAGAGAGACCAAAATCTGTAACACTGATATTTCCCGCCACACATGCGCAATGCGATAAAGTTGTTATTGTCGAAACCGCGTAACAAAAATATATTAGATAGATTATAATAAAATTATTTATGTTATTATAAAGGTTTTATTTGTGAGTTAAGAGACAAAAATTTTTAATGTACAATGAACTGCTTTAAATTATGTTATTCCTCTAGTTACTTGAGAAAGGTATGCGTTTATTTTGGTTATCCGTGTTGTTGGAAGAACCAAATGTCCATGTTGTGAAATTTCGTCAAGAACAGCAAAAACTTTATCTGAACGTGATATTTGGCGCACTACATTGGTTTAACAGGTGCCCGTGTCCATCTATGATGGCGTTTGATTCGCCTTGTATGTCCTACATGGCACTGTATCTAATATCATTGCAGATCGTCAACAGCAACCCTCGCACCTCCACTCACTGGAGGATTAACGCTGATCTGGGAATTGTTGTCCCTGGCGACGGGTTAGGTGAGGCATCTGTTGACTGTCCTGAAATGGAGACAGGTGTGCGTCCGGAAGAGGACAATGTGTTGAGCATTCTAACAAGGCCGCTTCATATAGATTCGAACGGATTTTGGGTTCTTGATACTGAAAAACGCAGCAATTGTGCAAACTGTCATGTTGTTGGAAGCGAGGCAAATGAGACGCCACCTGACGTCACGGTGACAACCACACTAACTTCTGGGTAACGATTTTATTGTAATCCCTCGTTAGATGTCAAGAATTAATTTTGCTCATTTATGCTTATAATATTAATAACTATAGTTATATCGCCCAACATATAAACGTTTAATTTATCGCATGTCATCCTTGCGGCCACGCCATGCTCCATGCTTGTTGGAGCGGTTTCATGTAATTACGGTGACTCCCACGTTTAGTACAGTGTGCACACTGGAGTTAGCTATCGTGCATCTTATTGTCACCCACACACAGGCACTTGGAATGTCTCAATAAAAAAAAACAATGGGAAATAAACACGAAATGTATTTACTACCAAAGTCTTAATGTTTCTCTACTTTATTTCGCCTATTATTGCCGATAATTACCTGTAAATGCCGGTCAAATGCTCATCTGCAACACACAAGTACACCGCACGCACGCCCTGTGCACAAACAACATGAACAAGCGAGCAGGTAGGAAAAGCGTGATCGAAAAATTCGCTCGATGCTCGCTTTATTTCACACGATTACAGAACAAATACACAACCAACAGCTTCCATCTTAGTATCTATGTGTAGCTAAATGTTCACTTGTTCGAATTATAACTCTGTCCTTTGTTCTTACCTACTCCCACCAGAGATATCTCGTGAAATCCTGTAGGAAATGTTCTCTCCGTGAAAATGTAAAGCGGACGTATCATACTAAAATTCCTATAAATGGCGCTACTCGATAATTCGACCAATCACTGTAGTCGTGTGTGATTTCATGCCCGCGCACATTATGCTTAGCTTGGCGGGCCTCGAAACGGAGCTCGGAGGCAGGCAGCAGCTCATCCTGGCATGCAATGCGGCGCCATGATTCGTGTATAAACGGACATCTCGTCCGATTTACATTTTCACGGAGAGAACATTTCCTGCAGGATTTCACGAGATATCTCTGGCGGGAGTAGGTAACAACAAAGGAAAGAGTTATAATTGAAACAAGTGAACATTTAGTTACACATAGATACCAAGATGAAGGCTGTTGGTTGTGTATTTGTTCTGTAATCGTGTGAAATGAAGCGAGCGTCGAGCAAATTTTGTTATCACGCTTTCCTACCTGCTCTCTTATTCATGTTGTTTGTGCACAGGGCATGCGTGCGGTGTACTTGTGTGTTGCAGATGATCATTTGACCGACATTTACAGGTAATTATCGGCAATAATAGGCGAAGTAGAGTAGAGAAACATTAAGACTGGTAGTAAATACATTTCGTGTTTATTTACCTTCTTTTTTTTTTTGGAGACGTTTCAAGTGCCTGTGCTCCCACACATCCGATGTCCACCCAGCTTAAAACTATAAGAGCCACTCTGTGTTTTGGCTTGGTCACCAGTAGTTATGTACTATAATGAAGAACGTCCACATAAAGCCTCTTTATATGCAGC